TCTTCTTCTCAGTGCCATCCTGGAGTTCATAGGTCGATGTTATTTTGCGTCCTTACCTTGATGCAATAAGCGAAGGGGGGAGTTTCTTTAAGTTAGAAAGGGATAAAGTGAGGAGAGGTTATGTGTAGGTTTCACAATCTCACCACGCGTCCTAAGATTCCTAAATCCTATGTTCCTAAGTACCTAGTGTTTAAGCTTAATGTCCAAAGGTCTGATCTTAAGAGTCTTATCCTAGGGTCAACTTTAGGCTCTGATACCAACTGTAACACCCCAGATTTTCAAGACTTTTAAAACTTATATAACAAGGATAGAATCTCATTAAATCCCAAAGTACGATACAAGAGTATGGGGTGCTATGCCACACCTAAGCTAGAGAACTCAGGTGCACAGGCTAACTGACTAATATCCTCAAATAGTATCAGTACTAAATCATGGCACACAGGCCGAAAGGGAAAAACTATCTAAGCTACGTCCAAGCTTCTAGCGCGCTCCAGTGAACTACTCGTCTGTGCCTGAAAGCCAAATATATCTGTTCAGTGAGAGATGCTGGTAACCCACTCCAACGTGTTGAAATACATTACATATAAAGATATATATAAATATACGAAAACCATTTTGAAGCATGAAGATATATCCTACGAGACTCTAGCTTTTAAAACCGGGAATGACTCGACAGATAAGGCTAGACACAAGCAATAGTTATAACAGGCGTATACAATCCTCAACAGGCAAGACAGATAAAGCTGAGCACAATTAATAATCATAACCCAATATAAACAATCCCCAGCATAAATCCCATGGTCACATCCCCCAATATACTCATAAACACAACTCATCCATATCTCATCACATAGCACACTTTGTTGGCGCCACAGGACCAATCGCACGCCCATACATGAGGGTCAGCGCACATAACTCTGACACGGCCCCGCAGCACCCTGCCCCGTCTCACATTACGGAGGAGCCGATCGCAACCGACTGATGGACCTTTGTCCTACATAATATTTATATACCTGACCGGTCTTTACCAGCCTGGTTAACAGTTGGGATGGTTCTCAGCCCATTCAACTGCCCGTATAGTGGACCTTTGTCCTATATAATATTTATATACCTGACCGGTCTCTACCAGCCTGGTTAACAGCCGGTATGGTTCTTAGCCCATCCGACTGCCCGTATAGTAGAACTTAGTCCTATATAATATTTATATACCTGACCGGTCTCTACTAGCCTGGTTAACAGCCGGTATGGTTCTCACACCTACCCCCACCTACCCCCCACTAACTCTTTCATCACATAAACGCCTCGGGAACCTTTGTGGAACCCGAAACCATGCTTAGACACTTTCAAACGCAATTGATAACACACGTAGACAATTAATGGATCAAAATCAAGAAACAAACGGCACATAACCTATCATGCTCTTCTAGACATAATAAACACCCAATCATGCGAAATCCCACCCAATATACCAAGAATAATTCCATATGATACAACCTAGGGTTCTAATCATTTTTAAATCCACAAGGACACAATTCATCTTCTAATATCAAGATTCGGTAAGAATATCACATAAACATCAAGAGTATCCTACAATCATCAAGAACATCATATAATCATCAAGAACGTTATATAATCATCAAGAACACCATAATTATCAAGAACCTTTCATCATCAAGATCACCCATGGAATTATCCCATCAATCATCAATAATAACACAAATCATCAATACACAATAATATGGGGAATTCCTAAGAGGGGAATCATAGCTATGAAAATAGGTTTTGTTGAGACATGGGTTACCTCTTAGCCTTAATTAATTCCTTGGCTATGAAGGGTCTTTCTTTAAGCTTTCTTGCTTTCTTGATTTCTTCTAGGGGGATTCTTGGAGCTCTTTGGGGTGGTGGGCATTATTCTTGTGGTGGGGGTTTCTAGGTGCCCCTTAAGTCCCCTATTTATATATTTAGGTGTCCTAGTTAGGAACTAATATTATGGGCTTGCTAGTTCTATTTCTTTTGGGACTAAGGATTGGGTTTAGGGATAAGGGCCCGTGGACTATGGTGGGCCTTCCTAATTAATTATTGTGATTTAATTCTTTCTTTTGGGTAATTGATTAAATGATTTAATTGATCTTAGGGGTCGTAACACGGGGTGTTACAGTCACATATGATGAAAGAGGTAATAGATAACTGGATTATGTGGGTGATAAATCAGGTTGAGTTGGAGTAGGTTGATGCTGGTATGGTAGGGCATTAGGTGAAGGAAATGTAGCCTGATTATCCTGAAATGTTTTCCAAAGTGGATATTCGCTCAAATGCTCCCCCTGAATACCAGATTTGGGAAAGAATGATTGGTGTTCAAAAAATGTGACATCCAAAGTATGATAAACTCTTTTTGTGACTGTAGAGTAACATTTGTACCCCTTTTGAGTATTAGAATACCCAATGAAGATGCATCTGTGTGATTTGGGGTCAAGTTTTGTTCTTTTGTGATCATAGATATGGACAAAAGCAGTACAACCAAAGATTTGAGTGGCAATTCTGAGGAAAAAACTGAGAGATGAGGGAATGCTTGTAGTAACAAAGATTGTGGTGTCTTGAACTTTAAGACACTACTAGGCATACGGTTTATGAGGTAAGTGGCAGTAAGCACAGCTTCCCCCCAAAAGTGTTTAGGCACATGATTTGAAAACATGCTGGATCAAGAGACTTCAATGAGGTGCCTATTTTTTCTCTCAGCCACTCCATTTTGCTGAGGGGTGTTGACACAAGAACTAATATGGACAATTCCCTGATCTAACAAGTATGGGCCAAGAATTGAGTTGTAGTATTCTGTCGCATAATCAGTTTTCAAAACTTTAACTTTTTGTTTGAACTAATTTTGAATCATGGAATGAAAAGCTTTAAAAATTGATGCAGTTTCTGATTTTTCTTTCATGAGGAAAGTCCATGTGATCCTAGTGTGGTCATCAATGAAGGATACGAACCATCTAGAACCATTAACATTTTTCACCCTTGAAGGTCCCCAAATATCACTATGTATCAATGAAAAGGTTGAGAAGGTTTGTAAGGATTGCTTGAGTAAATGCTTCGAGTATGTTTTGCAAGTTGACACACTTTGCAATGAAAAAACTTGGGTTTTTTTTATTGATAAATAAACCAGGAAATAGTTTTTCAAGATAAACAAAATTTGGATATCCAAGGCGAAAATGCCACAAGATGACTAGACTCTCATCGGAGACAGAAACAGAATTGAAACCATAATTTGACTTGGGGACTTGTTTATTTTCAGGAGTATATTTTAGAATATAGAGACCATGCAAACTTCAGCACTGCCAATCACCTTCTCCAAGCCTACAACCTGAAATTCACAAAGCTTAGGATAGAATTTAGTTTCACAATTCATGTCTCTAGTGAGTTTACTGATGGAAAGAAGGTTGTAACTTAATTTAGGAACAAAGAGAACGGATGAAAGAAAGAGTTCATCAGTTAATTTGACAGATCCTGTTCCTATCCCGTTAGAGAGGGATCTATCAGCAATTATGGTCGTGGTGAGATTGGTACAAGGTTTGAATGTATGGAAAACCTTTAAATCACCTGACATATGGTCGGATGCCCCGGAATCCACAATCCAAGGACCTGTGTTATTGGAATTTGCAGCAAATGCGTGAGAAGTGGTACCTTGATGACTCATAATACTAACATGTGCTTCAGCGGAAGGTGGGATTGACTGTTGTGCAACAGATATCTGCCCAAAAAGCTTCTTTAGGGCCTCAAGTTGAATTTTTGAGGAAGGGCTGACTTCATTGGGTGTTGTTTTAGAGGTTGAAGCCATAGTTGCTGGAGAGATTTGGTGAGGGATGACAGAGAAGAACCTAAGGTTTAGAGTTAGGCGCTGATACCATGTAAGAAATCCTGAATAGTTTTTCTACTCAATTTGAAAAATATAAGCCCTAATTTATACAAAGAAGAAGATTGATTATAGGGAAGAGAATCCTATAATCAGGGAAAGTAAATAAAAGGATCACTAAACTAGGAAAGAATCAAATCCACATAACTAATTACAGATCTTAAAAATATATGCATATCAATCTAATATTTTCACATATCAATCTAATATTTTCACATATCAATTCTAATATTTCCACATATACAATTCTGTTCATTTTCCTGCTCTTTTTTTGGAAAATGAACCAAACACAAAAAGACATTTTTTTGTTGTACAGTCGAACACCGAAAATGAAAATATTTTATGGAAAATGAGCATTTTACAGATGTCATTTTCCTGCTTCCAAACGGAGCCTAAGTGATTTTACTTGCACACTTGCACTTGTTTGCACTTTTAACACATGGTACTTGTATACCCTTAGGTCATTTTACATGTTAATCTAGACAGCTAATTTTTTCAAATATGTTTTTACCCACCCTTGATATAATTCGCTAGTCAAATCCGCTAACGCTAACCGCTAACTGCTGATTGTCAAATAAGGACATTGTGATGTAGTTTCCCACTTCAATTTGTTGTGTGATTTAAATACTGTCTTTGTCAACAAATCCCTCAAGTAGTTAATATGATTGACTTTACAAATTATATATATATTTTTAATTTTTTATGATATTAATAAAATACTTGGTAAATAAATATATAACATTATTTTGTATTATAACTTTGATATTTAATTTAAAAATAGTACGTGCCACTAGTACAAAAAACATCAATAAAATTGACTAATTCGCGTCCAAAGTTAAAACTTTGGACGCCTAAAGTGTAATGCGGTGGCATTTTTGTAATTAAAATGTCACTATATAAATAATTTTCTTTTTTTTTTTTAAATTTTAAAACAGTATTGGCGTCCAAAGCTCTATACTTTGGACGCCAATATTAAAATCCTCCTATTATTCGCGTCCAAATCTCAGTACTTTGGACGCGAATAATAATCAAGCGCGTCCAAAGTGGCTAACTTTGGACGCCCCTTATTAAATTTATCCAGCCAACCCTAGCTCAAATCAGATCAGATCGCAGCTCCACGCCGTCTCCGTCCATAGCAGCTTCATCCCTCTGCTCCGATCCACCGCTTCGATCGTCTCACCGCACACCACCATCTATTCTGTTGTCGCACACCACCACATTCGACACCCCACCACAGCCTCGTCGTTTCGGAACAGCGTGCCGTCGATCTGCAGCCGCCAACGCCGTCTCCAACGCATACCCTTCCGATCTTCGTCGTTCCCTCATCCACCGTCACTGCCTCCGCCCTAGCCACCGCCATCCATAGCTACGCGGCTCAGCCTTTAATCTAGGTTTCTCTCTATTTTCTTTATGTTTATTTCTCAGTTCAATGTTTCGTGCTCAGATCTGTTGTTATTTCTGCTTTTCTTCTTAAATATAATCCATCATCCTGCTCAGATCTGTTGTTGTTGGTGGATATGCCCAATATAATATTTTTAACAAGGACATTACTGTTCATTAACAATAATATTCACATTTATTTTTTCTTCCAGATTTTTTTTCTATTCATTTAATCAATGTGTTTGCCTCTCTCTTTCTGCAGTTAGTGTTAGTGAAGTGGAAGCATTATTTGAGCTGTTCAAGAAGTATTAGCAGTTCAGTGATTGATGATGGGCTGATAAACAAGGTATGTGGTTGTGGTGTACTGTTTGAGTTGGGATTACCTGATAATATGGATCACCTGTTAGGATCTTGCTTGTTAAGTCTATGATAACATTGAGTACATAAATAAATTGGACTTTGGCTGTGTTATTGCAGTTTCATATAGGCTTTATGATTTGGATGGCATAGGGTTCCTTGAGTGCCAAGAGGTATTTGATTCTTTTATGCTTGTGTTTTCCCTCATGCTATGCTACAAAGAATATGCAAGGCTGTTATGATATTTCTTGATTGTGCATTGATGTGTGTAGTCTTGTACTACTTACCCTGTCTAATATTTGTGCCCATTTAGCTAGTAGTTCTATTGCTTCCTAGCTATTTTTTTTCTTTGGCCAAACCCATGTTTGTAATATGTTCATCAAATTATATACCGAATAGTTTGTGAAAAATAAAATAAAAATCATGTTATGCGGATAGGTTCAATCCACGATCTTTCCCCAAAAATGACTCACTGAAGGTAATTAATGAATGACTTTGATTTAGATCTGCCATAATTTTTATTTGTGAATTCTTAGTGTATATGAATCATGAAGAATACTGATGTAATGCTCTTCAACATGTATAGCAACAGACATACACAAGAGACAAAGGAATGTCGTGCAACAGCCAGCGAGTTCAGGTTCATCCTCTGATATGGATCAGCATTATGCAATGTTCTTTTCTTTGAATAATTGAATTAATTCTTTCGCTAGAAGTTTTTGTTGATAAATGCTAGCTGGCTTAGTTTATGTAGCTGCTTGATTTCTTGATAGATGATATAGATTTCTAATTATTTGAACTCATGAAGCAATCAATATACAGTTTTTAGTGCACATATGAGGGACTTGTAATGTTCTGGCCGGAAGGAAGTACGCAGTGCTGTTTGAATTGAAGTCACATTGATGTGAAGAGAGAGGTGTTTCGGCTCATGTTTAGGGTTTCTATGAATGATGCAAGAATTCCAATTTCCAAATGATGCTATCATTTATTTATTGTCTCCTCTTGTTTGATTTGCCTGATTTGACATGTATGACCTTCACTTCTGATTCTAGAAGAAATTCTCTTGTGCTCTTTATTTCTTGTCTGTATTTTTCTGGACCTCTCTTGTAATAATGTACTTGGATCCAATTCTTCCTCATGCAGGTAAAAAATATGGTTTCTAATGCCAAGGGTGGTGGTACCTTAAATATCTCAGGAACTTCTTCAAGCAGTAGTTCTTCCATAAGCAATTCTTTGCCTTCTATGTTTCCTGCTGGAAGTGCACCTCCACTTTCACCAAGGAGTTCATCAGGTTCACCTAGAATCATGAAGCAGAGGGGCAGGGCCTTCTCAATTAGGTTCTCCTTTAAAATTAGTGAATCAACCAGTTAAAGAGCTGATACCACAGGTTTGGAATTGTCTTGTGATTCATTAGCTCTTTGGAGCTGCTGTTGTTGTTGTTTTTATTTTTATTTTTATTTTTATTTATTTTTTGCTAAAATGATAAATACTGCTTGTGGTGGCTATCAGATCGAGTGTCATTATTTATTTATTTTTATTTGGTAGTTATGCTGGAATGTACAGGAAAATATTTGATTAATGTTGAAATATATTATTTGGTAGTTATGCTGGAATGTACAGGAAAATATTGGTAGTTTTATAAAAAAAATGTTTTTTTAAAATTTTTTTTACTATACGCGTCTAAAGTTCAGAAACTTTGGACGCGTATAGTATTTTTTTTAAAATAAATAAACACTATACGCGTCCAAAGTTCACGAACTTTGGACGCGAATTATCATTTTTCGCGTTCAGAGTTCTTCAACTTTGGACGCGAATAATCATTTTGCGCGTCCAAAGCTACTTTGGACGCTGATTGTTGACATCTGCGTCCCAGCTACTTTGGACGCGAATTACCCTTAACTTTGGACGCGAATGACTGTTTCTGTACTAGTGTGCACAAAAAAGATAATCGACAATGTAGTGAATATAATCAATTGATGAATTTGAATGTAAAGAATTTTTACATTGGAGAAAAATAAAGACAATATAACTAACGAGATTATTTCTCTTAATTAATTTATTGATAATGAAATATTTTTTCTTAATTTGAATAAAGACATTGTAGGGACAATATAGCAAATATGATCAATTAATGAATTTGAATGTAAAGAATTTTTATATTTGGAGAAAAATAAAGACAATATAACTAATGAAATTATTTCTCTTATTTAATTTATTGATAATGAATAATTTTTTTTGAATAAAGTGTTAGGAACATATGTACTTAGATTTTGATGATACCAATGTAATTTAGACTGTAGACCCCTAACTTTTTGAATCGTTTTTCTTGCTACTTTCGTCTTAGACGAAAGATGCCATAACTCACCTTGTAATTCGTGTTAAGCTAGACAAACACACGAAACTGAGTTATGATCTTTTAGTAAGGCCTACTAGGACGAAAGAAGATCGAAAGATTGAAGAAAAGCTACATTAGTCAGAGAATCCATCTCTCGGTTATGCAGCAAATGGAGAAGTGCTCCTCATTGCTGCCAATTCAGACAAAAGATAAAGTCAATCTTTCGTGAAGAGACTTTTAGCCTAAAATCAGACTGCCAAGACAATTCCTCTTCACAGAATTCAAGAAGAATGTTGTCTAAGTCTCAGCTGGGAAATCGTTCTAGGAATAAATTGTCCAAAGAACAAGGTGCATGTAACACCCCGTGTTACGGCCTTCAATCCCGGATTAATTATTTAATTAATCCCGTTAATAATAATTAAATATGATTTAATTCGGTTAGGTTTCCTTTAATTAATCAATAAGGTCCACCACGAACCGTGGACCCTTGCCTAAATTAGAGTCTTAAGCCTATTAGGAATAAAGAAAGTAAACCCTTTACTATTCAGATTCTAATTAGGAATCCTAGACCTAGTTATCTATTAGGAATAAAGGAAGTGGGCCTTTTACTATTCAGACTACGATTAGGATTCCCTTTAATTAATTAATATGGTCCACTATGGACCATGGACCCTTATCCCTAAACCCAATCCTTAGTCCCAAAAGAAATAGAATTAGCAAGCCTATAATATTAGTTCCTAACTAAGACTCCTAAATATATAAATAGAGGACTTAAGAGGCACCTAGGACCCCCACCACAATAAAACGTCCCACCTCCCCAAAGAGCTCCAAGAATTCCCTTAGAAGAAATCAAGAAAACAAGAAAGCTTAAAGAAAGATCCTTCATAGCCAAGGAATTAATTAAGGCTAAGAGGTAACTCATGTCTCAACAAAACCTATTTTCATAGTTATGATTCCCCCATATTATTGTATGTTGATGATTCGTTATATTGGTGTTATGATTCCATTGATATTCTTGATGATCTTGACGATGATGGGTTCTTGATAATTATGGCGTTCTTGATGATTAAATGACGTTCTTGATAATTATATGGTGTTCTTGATGTTCTTAATAATTATATGAGGTTCTTGATAGTTATATGATATTCCTACCGAATCTTGATCTTGGAAGATGAATTGTGTTCTTGTTGGTTTAAAAATAATTAGAACCCTAGGTTATATCGTGGAATTCGTATTGTGTTATTCTTGGTATATTGGGTGGGATTTTGCATGATTGGGTGTTTATTGTGATTAGATAAGCATGATAGGTTATGTGTCATTTGTTTCTTGATTTTGATCTGTTAATTGTTTACGTGTGTTGTCAATTGCGTTTGAAAGTGTCTGAGCATGGTCTCGGGTTCCACAAAGGTTCCCGGGGCGTTTTTGGTGTTGATGAGTCAGTGGGGGGTAGGTGGGGGTAGGGGACCCGCCACCTACCCACCGTAAAAAAGGAGCAGTTCCGGCAGCGGGCAGCCGGCGGGCGGGCAGCTGCCCGCCGGGCACCCGCTGCCCGGAACAGTAACGCCGGCGGGTGAACCCCCACCCACCGGCTACCCGCTGGAAATTCCCACACTCGGGACTCCGGCTTCCCCGTTTGATGTTTCCCCGACCCCCGTGGTGTCCCAACGGACTCCGTCTATCGTGCCTATGTCTAGTTTGATGTTTCGGGTACCGTTCGTAGGTTGTAAGAGTCTTATATATTGCATGCTAGTTGAATTGGTATCCCGTTGACCTAGGTGAAAGAAGTATGAACCCCTTAGGACCATTCTTAGTATGTGAAGGATCACACATAGGTTTTGTTATACGTTTCCTCCCCCTTCCCAATATGTTAATGTGGGTTGTATGTGCTTGCTATATGTTATGTGTGCATGCTACCCCGACTTGGTTGAGATCAATCGGGCTATAAGGGCAGTCGGGTGGGCTGAGAACCATACCGGCTGTTAACCAGGCTGGTAGAGACCGGTCAGGTATATAAATATTATATAGGACTAAGTTCCACTATACGGGCAGTCGGATGGGCTGAGAACCATACCGGCTGTTAACCAGGCTGGTAAAGACCGGTCAGGTATATAAATATTATATAGGACAAAGGTCCACTATACGGTCAGTTGAATGGGCTGAGAACCATCCCAACTGTTAACCAGGCTGGTAAAGACCGGTCAGGTATATAAATATTATGTAGGACAAAGGTCCATCAGTCGGTTGCGATCGGCTCCTCCGTAATGTGAGACGGGGCAGGGTGCTGCGGGGCCGTGTCAGAGCTATATGCGCTGACCCTCATGTATGGGCATGCGATTGGTCCTGTGGCACCAACAAAGTGTGCTATGTGATGAGATATGGATGAGTTGTTGTTATGAGTACCTTGGGGATGTGACTATGGGATTTATACTGGAAATCGTATATGTTGGATTATGATTATTAATTGTGCTTATCTTACCTGTCTTGCCTGTTGTAAGCTATATATGCTTGGAATAACTGCTGTCTGTGCTTAGCCCTATCTGTTGAGTCGATCCCCGTTTTAAAAGCTAGAGTTTCGTAGGATATATCTTCATGCTTCAAAATGGTTTTCGTATATCTATATATATCTCTATATGTATTGTATTTCAACGCGTTGGAGTGGGTTACCAGCATCTCTCGCTGAACAGATATATTTGGCTTTCGGGCACAGAAGATTAAGTCACTGGAGCGCGCTAGAACTTGGAACGTAGAAGTAGATAGTTTCCCTTTCGGCCTGCGTGCCATGCTTATGCCTTTACATTATTGAGGATATTAGTTAGGTAGCCTGTGCACCTGAGTTCTCTAGCTCAGGTGTGGCATAGCACCCCGTACTCTTATATTATGTTTTGGGATTTAATGAGACTTCACCTTTATTTTATAAGTTTAAAATGTCTTGAAAATCTGGGGTGTTACAGTTGGTATCAGAGCCTAAGTTTAACCCTAGGATAAGACTCTTAAGACCGAACTTTAGGACATTAGGCTTGAACTCTAGGTATTAAGGAACATAGGATTCAGGAATCTTAGGACGCGCGGTGAGATTGTGAAACCTACACATAACCTCCCCTCACTTTATCCCTCTCTAAAATAACTCCCCCTACGCTTACCACACCAAGGTAAGGGTGCAGCACACTGACTCATCATTACAATAAATATTGACCCTGAAAACCAGCAGCGTGGCGCCAATAAGAAGACAGTCAATGATCCCACACTCCTCGAAGAATGAATCCGAACCTTCAACAAAATCCTCGGGTTAGGAGAATGCCCAGAGGAACGCCACGTAGAGATAGCCTCGTTCTACTTCAAGACACGAGGTTGATCTTTGATAGGTCCACAAAGAACTTATGGGCAACAACCGGGGGTTCAACTAAAAGTACCTAGGGGCACAGCTACAAGGACGACTCCACCCCGCACCCGCCATACTCATGGACCTCATGAACCGAGTATTCCGACCCCACCTGGATGACTTCGTCATTGTATTCATTGACGACATCCTAGGCTACTCCCGAAACAAGGAAGGACATGAAAGGCACCTCCGCATAACCTTACAAACTCTAAGAGAGCACCAGCTATACGCTAAGTTCTCCAAATGCGAATTCTGGAAAGACAGCGTGACCTTCCTGGGCCACGTAATAACCAAAGAAGGAATTAAGGTGGACCCCACCAAAGCCAAGGCCGTTAAGGAATGGTCCACACCGAAATCACTTTCAGAGGTCCGAAGCTTCCTGGGCTTGGCTGGTTACTACAGGAGATTTGTACCCGACTTTACCAAGATAGCCCAACCTCTCATTAAACTCATGAAAAAGGAGACCCCTTTCCGATGGAACGACAACAGCGTCGCAGCCTTTCAGGAATTGAAGGATAAGTTAACCACGGCACCCGTAATAGCCATCCCCTCCGGGGAGGAAGGGTTCGAGGTCTTCAGTGACGCGTCCAAAAAGGGGTTGGGGTGCGTGCTAATACAAAAAGGCAAGGTAATAGCATACGCATCTAGGCAACTCAAAACCCACGAAGAAAATACCCCACCCATGACCTCAAGCTAACCGCCATCGTATTCGCACTGAAAATTTGGAGGCATTACCTATACGGAGTGCAATGCAAGATTTACACAGACGCATAGAAAGTATCATACAACTAGAGCCTCCCGGCAATAAGGGCCTTACCTTGGAACAAGGACCTTGATGGTTT